GAGGGCGCGGCGACGGCGACGGCGGCGGAGGTGGTGTCGGGGGGGGCGCTGGGCGCGTGGGCGCTGCTGCACAACTACGAGTACCGCACGTGCCTGCTGTCGGCGGCGGTGTTGCAGACCGCCAGCGCCGCCGCCTTCCTCCTCGCCTCCTTCCTCGCACGCGCGCACTAGCTGCGTGTTCACCTCGAGCACGTCATTGTGCACGTTTGTGTTGTGTACCGATTGTTAACTTAAAAATAATATGAGCAACGGCGGCAGAGTGTTACAGGATGAGCGTTTCCGCTACCAGGATATTTTGAGGAAAGGAGCCGAGCTGACAAGTCGCGAGACGTACGTTATAGTTGACAACAATTGAAGGCTTCTCTTTTTTTCAGAAATAAAGCAGATATTTAAAATGTAGTTTGTATGAAAGAATATGTACACGTGAGGAAATATCATCGTCAACATTAGTTGTGTTACAAATGAGACGTATAAATAAAACAAACGCAGGTTTTATGATATTTTCTATTTTCTATAATATAATAAGAGATCATTACATTTACAATTAGAATACAATGAATATTTATATAACAGTGTAGTTGTGTTGTGCACTCGGCGCACTCGGCGCACTCGGCGCACTCGGCGCACTCGGCGCACTCGGCGCACTCGGCGCACTCGGCGCACTCGGCGCACTCGGCGCACTCGGCGCGCTGCAGACATACAAACTATACAACTATAGGTGATGAGACAGGACACAGACACAGACAAACGCGGCGCATCACTTCTTCTAACATATTTTAAGATAATCAGATAAAAAGAGTGAGAATGTGCAAGCGTTCAGTAACGTAGTCCCTCAGTGCGCATTTAATGAGCGAGTGTGAGTGTGAGTGTGAGTGCGTCGGTTAATGTACATTTGATCAGTGTATTTAGTATTTACAATGGTATATGAATAATCTGAGATATGCAAGAGTTACAGAAGTGTTACAGTTACAGTGCGTGTTCAGTGAACGCAAACAAGCGAACTGAGACACCACAAATACAAACAAACAAACAAACAAACATAGAAGCTCTTTATGTTTCGTTTAAGCTAATTTATGTTGTGTTTTATATCTACTTATAATTTATTCAATATACATTTGTATTTTATATTAAAACCTTATATTATAAAGTATTTTATATGATTTCAAATTATATAAATAAAATTTGTTGGACAAAAACAATAGTTTTAATGAGTTCCTCGCGCCATGTTGCACTACAATAGGAATGTATTATGTTACATCAAAACCGAACAAAGTTTTCCAGTGTGGAACACTCGCATTGGAAGTTTGACTTACTTACGTACTCCTTCGTGTGAACAATACGAGCAAACCGGTGCAATGTAACATGTATACACATACATACAGGAGTCACTGACATCACAACAGACAACGTACTTCAAACATTACCCTGACCCAGACCCTGACACCGCCATCGCCACCGCTCTAGCTCAGCAAGTCCAGCATCTCGCTGCTGCTGCCCGCCTTGACGTTGTTCTTGTTGGTGTCGTGCTGACTGTCGGGCTGGTGAGGGGCGGGCAGTAGGGACTCGAAGGCGGACCAGTCCTGCTTGACGCCGGTCTGCCGGCCCTGGCTGCCGGACCACTTGTTGTTGAAGTTGGCGCCGTCCTGCCCGAGCGGCACGCGGCTGGCGGGCATGTAGCCGGGCGCGGGGCGGGGCGACTGAGAGAGCTGCGTGAGGTTGGCCTGCAGCAGCGAGGCGGTGAGGTCCAGGGGGCGGGGGCGGTGCGCCGGGGGGGGCTGGCGGGTGAAGCTGCGCGCCGTGGCCTGCTGCTGAGCCAGCCTGGTGATCATGAGGTGCATCAGTTAAACTTGCGCCGGCTACAGTACTATAATCGAGCTGAATATAAAACCCTCGCTGTCTGTATTATGTTCCAGTAGTACTGACCTCTGTTTTTCTTCTATAGTAAGGGACGAGGCAGTAGTAGCGGGGGCGGGGGCGGGGGCGGGGG